CCCCCTCTTCACCGCCCCTCCCTTCCGTGACCTACCCACTCCTTGCAGCCCTCGTCCGCACCTTCTCCGACACTCCGGCATCCTTGCACCACCTGCTCGACAGCTCCGGCGGGCGCTGGTACTTGCTGTGCGCGCCGAGAGGAAGACAAGCTCCGAACCCGTGCCTGGCAGACCGGCTGTCACGGCTGCACCACCAGCAGGAGGAAGAGGAAAAGAAACTATTTTGCCCACCGAAACCCCATTCTGCGGGTGCTTTGCCGTTGCCGCTTCTGCTGCTGCCGATCCGCGTCCGAGGGTTCGAGCACCGCAGCGGCGCGGACCGTGGGTCCGGCGGGCTCGGCAAGGAAGACACCGGCGGAGCTCTGCACTCTGGTGCCCCGCTTATCAGCATCTCTTTGCCCCTCTCATTTCTTCCCCAACCCTTTAGAGAAGGGACCATGATTTGGAAACGCAGCGCCGTTCTCCGCTTCTACAGCGTCTGCGGGCTCCTGCTACAAGGTAATCCCCGCCCCGCCGCGGGGAGCATCAACTTCACGCCCATTCCCCATCATCCTCACTCCACCCCATATTTCCACTCTCCCCCTTCCAGTCCCCCAGTCCCCGGCGATTTCCACCCCCTCCCCCTACTCCCCGGTGCGGCAGGGGGCAGTGGCAGTTTGCTCCAGCCCCTCGAATTTCTGATGCTGGCTCAACCCCGCTCTCCCAGCAGTCAGCCCCTTACGCGGCACCTTTCGCCTTTTCATTCACCTGAGCTTCCTACATCTCTCACTATCCATCCTCGCCGGCAGCCCCTCCCCCACACACACACTCCCACGCCTTTTGGCTGGCAACTTGTGCCTTCTCTGAACATTCCACCCTCCCACCAACCCCCATCAGCCACCTCCCACATCACGCTCCTGACCGACCCTCTCCATCTCTTGTCATCTCTTTAACCTCCTCCCCCTTTTCGGGTCGCCTTTCTCTTTCCCCTTCTTCCCACCATCATCATATCCGTGTGTCTTTAAAAAGTGTGTGAGAGCCTGGGAGCGAGCTACCGAGACGGCGAGAACAGCAGCAGCGGCAGCACCGTGTGCATTGCAATAACATCCCCAGGGGGGAAATGTGTTGTGAGACTTGTCATTCACCTAGGAAGAGAGGAGGCTGGGGTTAAGAAGATAAATTAAATAAATAAATAGATAAGAGAGGGGAAAAGAGAAAGGAAGAAAGATATGATGGGAAAAAAGAGTGAAAAGAAAAAGAAAGAATGAATAAATGAACCAAGAAATAAAAAGAGCCAAGGGAAGGGAAAAATTGAGACTCAAAGCCACTTTGTGAACAAACCGACTTTTTTTTTTTTTGTTATTCAGTCTGTGTGGTTTTCTTTTTCTTTTCTTAAAGCCAAGAAATACATGCACTGTAGCAGTTACTTTACTGCTAAGGGATTTTCGCTTTGATTCCCTACCTCTCCATACGCTCTCTGCCGCTTCTTTCCGTAATTAATATTATCCTTTCACGTGAAATGTAAGAACCCCGGCGACCGCAGTGGAGGGAAACGGCACAAAACACTGTTATTATGCAAATCACTGGGTTTGGATGTGGACTGGCTATGGAACTGGGGTGCACTTTTCCCCAGACCCTCTCTTGGAGGAGGGAGGAGGGAGCTGTGTGGAATGGGAGGACGAGGCTGATTATGAAATAAATGGCAATGCACGGAGTAGGAGTGCTTGGGGAGAGCACACTTTGGGTGGTGGTGGAAGCAGAGGCGGCATGCTGGGACTGAGTGGACAGGGGCTGTAAGGTGGAAGATTGTTGCTTTGAAGAGAGTAGTGTAGGGATGTGGCTTGAGTGTGAGATACAAGAAGGATGGATGTGAAATGATGGTCGTATGATTTTTTTTTTAAGCTAGTGACTTGATTTCTTGATAATTCTTTGCCCACCTCTAACCCTTCTGTCATCATTTGTGTATTTGTAGGAAAGATAAGTTGATCATATTTATTTGTCCCTGGGTAAAAGGAATTTGAAAGTAAGACTCACGTAGAACAGGCGTGCAAAACCCAGTCGGCCTTTGGAGGATTTAAATGAGGTCAATGAACCATCTTTCAGCAAGTTCTTGGAATGCATCCTCTCCTGTCCTCCTCTGGAATATAGACCAGGACTGTATTTTATTTATGCATGTTTATGAATGTGAAAGAGATAATGGCATAATTTTCCTAAATTAACTAACTGACCTTGCAGAGATATTTCTTGGAATATTTTGTGCTAATTTTGTGTATTTTTTGTTTGATGTAAATTTTAGATATGTCATGTGCCAGAATCTCTGAGAAGGCAGACAGCCCATTCTTTCTGCTTATGCCGCCTGATCCCATTTCCCTCACACCCCTACCCTCGCGAGTAACCCGATGGCGGACACATTACTTGGGTTTTTAATCCGTGCTGAAACATCCTTCCGGAGACCTCACTTCACCTCTCAGTAACTTGTATTTCTCAGCTCTGCTATATGTGTGTGTGTGTGTGAGTGTGTGTGCCCGCGCGCGCGCGCGCGCATCCGCTCACACCACGCCGGGTAAGGGGAATGTGATGTGGGGAAATCAGTTAATTTGGTGATTGCGATGAAAATTCGACACCGCTGGATGTGTTTTCCCTGCCAATCTGTGTGTGCCGGCCCCGGCACGTCACTGCACACACTGCTGGACTGGTGCAAGAAGATTATTTATTACAGAGCATGTGGGCAATGGACTACACTTGGGGGTCGCCTCCTCTCTGCCTTCAACATTTCCCTGTGAATTGTCTATTCAGTGCACTGCAAAATAACTGTCTGCTAGTCTCTCTCTCTCTCTCTCTCTCTCTCAGCCTGAAGGAGGATTTACTCTTTCTCTACCCGTAGAGATTCCATCAGCTGCATTGTTTTATTAAGGGCATGGGTCTCTTTTATTAAGTATGTAAACCAATGATTAAGACAGTGCTGCTTTTCACAGCAGACTGGGGTGAGGGGGTGAGGGGGAGTGGAAGGGGTATTGATAGCCAGAGAAAATGCACCACTGCAACCAGCAGCAGCACCAGCATCAGGTCCAAATAAATAAATAGTGTCCTAAACAGAAACCGTAGAAAGAACACCAGCTCAAGGATTATCTGTACTTCTGAGAATCTTAGATCAAGCCATATTAATACACCAAAAGAGAGAAGAGGATTTAAAGGGGGAAAAAAAATAAAAAAATAAACTAGAAGGGGGAGGAGGCGCAAAGCCCGTTGAATTGTCTTCTCATGTTTATGGCTGCCTCACATTTATCAAACACCGTTCCAACAGACACATCACACTTTGTTGATATTGTCAGTTCCTGCTCAAATTGTTATGCCTTCCTGGTCTTGGTTTTGGCTGAAAAACATTGCTTGAGGGTCCAGGTTTATGTTTCTCCCACCACTCTACTGTTTTATTAGGGCTTGGTTAGGTTGTAAAATGAAAGCTTTATTTCCTGGACACAGATTAAATACTTAGCAGGTCTTTCCTCTCTATGCCCAGGAAAGGAAGAGTAGTGAGGGAACTAGTGAGCAACTGATTTTGGACAGAGGTAGTCTGCTCTGCCTGCTAGTAGTTATGACTAGGCAAATAGTGTAGGCAGTCTCCAGCTCCTTATATTTAGCATTACCACCCCTACGGTGGTATTTTGTCATTTAAGTAGTACTTATCAATTTATTTATCCTTTGTATTATTATCCCCTTTTTTGCAGTGTGCATTAGTTTAGACAGGAATATTCATTTGAACGTATCTTCCCCATGGCTTCACTGTGTTTTACATTGTCATCAATTTTTTTTTAACTTTTCTAGGAAGCAAACTCAATCTTTAGGCCTGATAATATGTAGATTGATAAGCCAGTGGTGAGAATCAAGTTAATGACAAAATGAGTTTTTTTTTTAAAGGCTTAAATAATTCTATTCGACGACAATTCTGTTGTACCAGCTCATCCTCAATGAGTCTTTAGGACATGAATAGTTAGATAGAAAATAAATGTATTTCTGACCAAAGGATAACTTGGAATGTAGACTATGTAGATTACAAAATTTGCTTCATTGTTAAGCTATATAGCATCCTTTTTTATTTTCCTCCATCATAGACAGGGAAAAATCTGGGGCAAGGGCAGAGGACACTTTAGACAAATGAATTTCTTTACAATGAAGAGTGCAGCAGCTTGCCACCTGTAACTAAGACCTCTTCTTGGCTACAGAGTAAATCTAGTTCAATTGCTAACCCTCCCTGAAGCTGTATGCCTGAGGGGACACTGCAAAGATGGAGGCTGTCTTGTTTAGCACAGGAAATAACCCATAGAAAGGACAAAAAAAGAAAGAAGGGCAAAATATAACTAGAAAATAGACACACATAGAGAAGCCCTGATTTTGTGGAGAACTTTATTTCCTATTTAGAGTTAGTCTTACACAAAAACACATCCAACACAAATACTGGGGCTCTAGTTGTTTCTTTTGCTTGTTTGTTTTCGTTTTTGCCATGGGACATTTTGGTAAATGATGTGTTATAAAGAAAGATCTTCAAATTAAAGACCTATTGGACATACATATTTCTTGCCTCAGTGTGTGTCCTGCACCTCCCCTTACATTTTTAGAAAACACATTATAATACAAAATACACTTACACACTTAGTAAAATTCTGGTACCTTAATACTTCCTAAAAGCATGTCTCCCGTTCTTTTCACCTCTGCATGTGGTAACCTTAGTCATGTCGAGCTCATTTCTTACGCTAAAGGCAGTTCCTGGGATAGAGCTCACTCCTCCCTTTTTTGACTAACAGCTGAAACTTTGTAAAGATTTTGTACATAAGAGTCAGTGACTATGACTTAAACAGTCAAACATCAGACACTTAGTAGTTAGGAAAATCTCTCTGCAAATGTAAGGATTTCCTTGACTAATTTAGTATCAAGATATGGAAGCTTACATTATTGTCTTTTCCCCATATCTACAACTATTAGAACTCTGGGAGCATAATATGACAAAGGTAAGCATCAACTGAGATGGCTGACCTCTTCCTGTCTTGTCCTCCAGGTCAGATGCTTGAAAAATAATTGCCCCACATTTAAATAGTGAGGTAATGTCATTTTTCTTAAGGAAAAACTTACTTAAATCACTTAAACAGCAAGTAGAAGTGCAAAAAATGTTGGAAAACATCCTAAGCATGCATTTTTAAAGGGGCCCAATGTCAACATCAAGTGGTATCAATTTTCTTTTTAAAATAAAGAGTCTCTGGGGAATAAGATGATTGAGAGAAGTAAAACATGTATTATGAAGGATTTGGGTACATTAGTATTAGAACATAGACCTATCATATTGATGTTTTATTTGATCAGCTGATGCATTCTATGAGATTTATTGATAAAAAAGTCCTTGTTTTAACAGATTGCATTAAACCTCCTTGGCAAAGTCACCCATTGTGTAGCAGCTGGCCGAGTAGGTACAGGAGGCAGGGAAAAGGGAAATTACAGATCAAGTAAGTGGAACTCAGAAGCTGAAGAGCTGAAATCAGAAGTCCTTTGTGGAATTGTTTACCCTCTTAAAACAGCTCTATTGCCTGATTTACATTCAATTTAAGCTTCCTGAGGGCAAGCCCTGAGCTTTATTATCTGTGTAACTTCTTATTCTCAATTTAGTAGTGCATAATAAATAGTGTTGGGTTGAATAATGAGTATGTTCTAATCAGTCACGATGGAGTTAAATGGTCCCTTCTCTTCATAATATGTCAGCACTCATACTTTGTTAAATAGTGTGTGTAAGAGTTAATTTTAACATTTTGTAGGCTGTATTGGTTTAGGAAACAGTTTTCCTATAGAAAATTATAATAGCAGTAGCTCTTGAGAAACATCCTTAAACAAATGCAGTTTGATCAGTTATTCTTTAACTTGATATACCCCTACCCGTGTTTTTCTTTTCCGTAATTAAAAATCCCAGATTTCACAGGAGATCCATGAGAGGAAAAAAAAATGAAGGGCATGATTTAAATTTACTGATTTAACCTAAAATATTTGAAAGGACAAGTTCATTGCCAACATTTTATTTGAAAATGTCAAGCATTTTTGGAGTGCAGTTCTGTCGTATCAAAAAAAGACATCTTCTGCAAATTCCTTGTGTAAAGAGGTGGGTAAGGATTAACCTAGAGTTGTGGCAGCTGAAGCCCCCTGCTGTGTGATGATGCAAATGGCATCTCAGGTCTAACGTGCTCTGCAGCGGCAGACAAACTTGCAGGAATGCAGTCATGTGGCATAAGTGAAATGGGAAGTCTTTTCATAGCTTGTAGTGGACATGAACCATCCTTCAGCTTTTCATAATCAGAAATAATCCAGAGAATATTTCTAATCACGTGAGCTCATGACACAGCAGAAGAGAGAATTTTGTTTAGAGATGAGTGTAATAAATAAATCCTAATAAAATTATGAACGTTTTCATCAAATGAATGGTGAATAGTCCAAACTTGCAACTATCTTGCAAACTATCAGGACCACGGGTCAGTTTAATGAAAATAAATAGCAAAGTTAAAACAGGATTCCTATGCAGTTATTTACATGTGTTGGACCTAATAAATGTTGAACTGGGCAATAATCTATTATCCCTCTCTTCCTTTAGTGAGTAAGAATCAGTCCCTTGGCTTTTTTTCCTTACTAGAGTTTTTCCTGTTTTATGAGAATATAGTGATTTTAAAAGAAATAGGAATTAACTGTTCAATGTAGTTCAAATAGTTTATTTAGTGCCATAAAATGAAATTTCTGTTAATGTCAAACCAGCAGAGAGTATTTCTTTTCTGAACAATTTTATTTATCATAGAGGCAAAAGCTTCAAATAGGTTCCTTAATAAAAGTAAGAGTTGTGGACCAATTGTTATGGAAGCCTATCAGATAATAGTAACTAATGTAGCATTGTTTATTTTTATCCCATTTGCTACAGAACAAAGTAATTGAACATACTGTGCACATTGATTTTTATTCTAGAAATAAGTCCAATTGGTCTTGTTTATGTGCTCAGTGGATTTCTTTAAACAGATATGAAATTGTTTTCATGTTAGAAGTATGTATATATATGAAAATTAGGAAATACTCTGCTTAATTAGGTATGAGTTAAATATTAATGCCAAAATCAGAGGTGTAATTATTGAGAGAGGAAATATTCCTCAATCATTTATCTCTATATATATACACATATGCACACGCTTAAAATACACAGTTATTTTTAGGTCTGAAGGACATTTTGTGAGTAATTAGAATCTGGGGCTCTTAGGGATGAAGTGTGAGGAAAAGGGAAAAGTTTATTTTGTTTGCATTCATTATTTTCTTTTACCCTTTTTATGGAGGTTAAAAAAGGTACTTTTAGAATACATTTTCTTAGGCTGTAGCAATGATTAACTTTTCCACTTAAAAACATGCACACACAAGGTTTAGAGTTTCTGAATTTGCGACAGAGCTGAACATTTGTTCTGAATTTTCTTTTGTGCTTGTGAAACTGAGTGATGGGAACCCACTGCTACCTGAATAGACTCGGGGCTGAGGTTGTAAGGAGATCTGCCAGGGAGAGAGCCGGACATTAATTATTCACATTCTATTTTAGACGTCTTTGAAGTAAATATTAAGACAGTCATTGTTCCACATTGGGGATAACTCTTTTCTGAGTCAGCAAGTAGTTTTCACTTGAGTATTTAAATTATCTTTCAGCCATTTGAATGCTGAAGGGGGAAGCCCCTGTTTAGTCACAGTTGCACAGTTATTCTAGGGGCTAGATACTGACGTCACTAGGGATAGTTTAGAAAATAAAAATAAGCATTCATTGGCCTTGAGGAACCAAAAAATCTTAAAGCTAAGTGTGGTCAAAGAGTGCAAATAATTTTATATAAGCAAAGAAAAGTTCATTTATAGGTTAAATTGACTCCCTTAATAATTTTATGTGTTTGATGTTGGTTTATTTACAGTAACAGTGCATTGTTTATCTGAAGTCTTCTTTGCAGAGTGAGAAGCACCTTTCCTGACAAGGATGTGCTGCCGACTGCTAAGTGTATAGCTGTTATATTGATTCAGTGAAATTTATAAAGCCAATTAATTTGTTCTTGTAAAGAAATATTTTTAGCTTCTTTGCTAAATTGTTTGCATTTAAAGATGCAAGTGCCTCCCATAATGCTTTACTTAAACATCAAAGCCTAAATTTATGATGCGTAAAATATGTTTCTACTTTCGTAATAAATTCATATTTTACATTCACTTGTCCTGTATCCTCCCTGGGAGAAAATGTCCCTGACGCCTATACCTTCTGTTCCTTCTCCTACCTTACCTGTCCGCTGCTTTCAATCTTAAGTAGGAGACCTAAGCCGAAATGAGAGATGATTAGAATATTTGTATTTAAAAGCAAATAAGAAAATGCACAATAAGATTCTTATTTAATTGTTGTTCCTTTATTACACTCTATTTTATGGGCTGAAGTTGATCAGTAACTCAGCTTCCTTTACACTCTTTAGGAATATAAAATCTCCCCACTCCACACCACCTACCAACCTGAAAGTCCCATTAAAAGAAATTAACATGGAATGAAGTTAAAGGGAGTTTTGCTAAATCTAGTCTGTGTACTGAATACCTACAGATTGGGTGTTTTTCTTTCAACTTAAGAAGCGTGTACCCCAGTGCTTTAGCAAGGCTAGAACACGTACAATATGCTTTTAGTAGTTTTTTGTTATTGTTATTATTGCATTTTCTGAGAGTGCAACCTCCTTAGTCTCATAATAAAAATGGCAAAAAGAGGAGGGAAGGCATATGAGTCAGCCAGCCAAACACACACAGAAAAGCCTGGCAAAGCCGACTAAATTAGCATATGCTAGGCTGAGTATTTCCCTCTGCTGTTACATAACCCTGTTCTAATAGGAAATCACTTCTCCTACTTAACCCTTTCAGGCGGTTTGAAATTCTACTGTTATGTTTCTATTTTGCTTCGTTTATTTTCTCACAAATTGTGTAAATCATCTCTTGGAAGGGCTTTTATGCCAAATTCTTTTTTTTCCCTCTTCAGTCTTTCTGTATACAAATGTTCCATTCTGTGCTCAACTTCAGGATTCAAGAATCAACTTTTCTATAGCTTTCACAGAGGATCTAATTAGCATTTTAGGCTCTCTTCACTCGTGTGCAGCTTTCTTTAGAAAATGTATTAGTTCTATGAGGTTCCCCTAAGGATTCATAATACTCTGGTTTGTTACATGTACTGTGATATTCAGTGTGCCTTAATTATGCACTTGTCCTCATTTCAAAGCCTTTTCAGGGATCATGTGGGATAGAACAGGGGTCTGGCTGTAAGTTCACTGTCATGTATTAATGTGTAGGTGGTATTCAGAGAAGGACGTTTCTGAAGGCAATTATATATCTGTGACTCTAGTATAGCAAGCAGTTACATTCTACACTTACTGGTTACCCTGCCAAGGCAGAATGAAATTCACCATTGTGATACATAATACACTGTCTGTTACTTCTAAATAGCTCTTTGCTCTGGGAATGAGATAAAATAATGAGTGAAAATGTGTATCCCCTATCCTGAATAGGGATTGTTCCTTTCACTCTCCCAAACGAAAAGACGACTCAGAAATTGTTCTTAAGTCAATACTCTGTTCCTTAACTAGCCCATTAACACATTTTTGCTGTGGTGGGATCTCGAAGTTGTACTGGTTATTATTTGAGGCTATAGATTTTTAGGTAGTATTAATTGCTTGCAATCGTATGTGCTGACAAATGTCCGTGCATTGCCAAACTTGAGGCATTATATTTTCAGTTTTTGATTTGGATGCAATGTGGACAACTGTAAAAATATACAGGGATATTGAACAAGAGAGAGAAAGAGAGGGAGAAAGAGAGAAAAACTTTTTTTTTTAACAGGGAATACACTTGTGGAGGGATAGGTGCAATAAGGGGCTCATTTTGGTACATGTTGTCATTTATAAGGAGGAGATTTTCCTACATTGCGTGAGTCTGAGTGTGTACATATGTTAATTTTACCCTTTGACTTGCATTCCTGTGTGCTATATATCATCAGAAAATTTGAATTTTATTTGTAAACATAACTTAATTTTTTTCTTTTTTTACAGCTATTGCAGTAAAAAGACTTGTAAGTTGATATACTAACAATTTTAACCAATTTTTGTTTCATTATTTTGCACAACATTTTTTGAAGTCGTATTATTATTAATGGTGGCTAAAAAAATGTTGATATCCAGGAACCCATAGGAGTTTTTAATGAGAATTTTTGAGCAGAATCTGATGTGTTTTAGTAGACAAAAGAATGCCATCTGCCCTTTATTGATTATTTTAAGGATTTGTGTCTTCTTAGTTTATGAGATACCTAAGCATTTTATTTTGTCTATGCTACGATCTATATCCCTTAGTATATTTTTATTACAGCATTTTGAATGTTAGGTACTTATCTATCCACCTCCCCTAATGGACTGTAAGCCGTTAGAGGGTCTTAGTCTTCATTTTATTTCAAGTGCCTAATCGAATGTCTAGCCTGTGTATTTTTTTGTTTTCGTTCCACTGATTGATTAGTTCTCTTCTAATCCATTTCATCCTGACACATCTCTTTAACTGGATCCAAGTAATATTTAAGTCTTTACAATTGTCAAAATGCCTATATGGTATTCTGAATAGAATAAATATTTGCAATCAACTTACATTTGTATGTCAAGTAGGAGGGAGAAGACAAAAATGGATACGAAGTAACATAATTCTAAATAATGACATACTTCACAAAAAAATGCAGAATCACTCTGTTCAGTTAAGGTAATCAGTTCAAATTTGTCCTAAAAACATTTGTCTCGTAGCTTTGAATCTCCCTGATTTCTGTCGGCATCATAACCCCTTGTCTTTTTTTCCACTTATTAAAGATTTCTATGCCTGGCCCCCAAAATATTCCTGATGATGACTTTGGGTAAACATGAAGCCAAATCACCTTACTGTTCTATTTAGAGTAGCTGGTATTTCTGGATAAATGTATAAACAAAGAGGAATTACGAACTGACCTTGATCTGCCAGATTATCAGTGAGAACTGACCTGCTTTTGTTATTGCCAAGCTATAGAGTAAAGGTTCTCTGAGTAGTCTCTGAAGTACAGATTCAGGGTACACTCTTCTCAGTTTAACTGAGGGAGATTCCATTTGTTTTATTTAAAAGAACTTTTAAAGAAAATTCTAAATATATATATATATTATATATTTTTTAATGCTTAGTCATACCTCTGCATTAAGGACACATGTTTGCTATGGTTGAATTTGATTAGTTTTCTTTCTGCACTTTGAAAGACAGTGGGAGGTAGGATGGGAATATTAACCACTTTTTGAAGAGAATTTAAATATAGTTAACTGGGATCTGAACACCAAGGGAGAAAAGACTTTCTACAATTTGTAGTGACGCTGTTTTCACATAAAATGTTTTAAGAAAACTTTTTCTAAAATGTACCAGTGAAATGTAGCTTTTCTTAAGGGTTATATAGTTTTTCTTTAAATTTGAAAAATCAGTTTCCCTGATGTCTTTCAGATTTTTGACTGTTTCATGACTCTGAGCATTTGAAAGGCTATTATTAAGTAAGTTAATTTAAGATTTACCTGAAGCCAAATCACTGTATCATCCTCGTGTAGAAATACACATTCAGTAAACAAATATCCAAAGTAAATTAAACTAGTCAATTTATTAAGCATTATTGCCACTTTATGGAGTTGATACTAAGAATTATATCCTCCCACAGCTTCTGTTAATACCTAAAATCTTGCTTTATATTAAGATGTGTCAGTATGATGCAACAGCCAAGCAAGAATAACCTCGTCTTAGAGGTGGCTGCTGTTCAAGCCTTGCTGATCCACGTTCTAGAGCCTAGTGAATAAAAGGGACAATAGTTTGGGAATAGTTTTTTGTTGACTATGTCACTGTTTTGAAGAAAAATTATTTTAATATGTTACAGAATTTTATTCATCATATTGAGGATATCCCAATAAATCTGTGGTTAGAAGTGACATTTTATTTTTTTATGTGTAACCACATAGTATCTAAAACATTCGAAAAGAATCACACCTTCATACTTCTCAACATTTTTGACATAATGGCCTATTTAGAAGTTGAATTTTCAGTTTGATGTAAGAAGGAAGGACCTTTATCTGTTACTTTAAATGCTAAAGCATTTCAGACCAACATTCTTGTTCAGCATCACCAAAGAACAATACCTACAATATTCATTAAAAGAATATTGTACTAAATACATTGTCTTTATAAGAAGATTTGATG